TTTTTTTTTTTTTTTTTTTTTTTTTTGTCTAAGCGTCCTGTGGCTGGACTTTGTTTTCCGAGGGTCATATGACAGCTCCCCTCCACCCTGCGCCGCCGGGGGAGAGCGGGAAGCAAGCCCCGCGGGTGTTGCAACTTCGGGCCAGAGAGTGGGAATCAGCTGTTTGGACGGGCCCACGTGACCCGCCCGAGCATAAAAGGTCGGCGCGGCCACGGCTCGGCAGTCACTGCTCGCCTCCTCCCATCGCGGCTGTCGCTCACGGAGCCAGCACCGAGCGAGCCCAGCACCGAGCCCAGCACCGAGCCCAGCACCGAGCGAGCTCAGCACCGAGCCCAGCACCGAGCGAGCCCAGCACCGAGCGAGCTCAGCACCTAACCCAGCACCGAGCGAACCCAGCACTGAGCCCGCACTGAGCCCAGCACCGAGCAAGGCAGCACCGGCCGGATGGAGCACCCCCAGCCCGACAGGCAAGTACGGGGCGCCCCTCCCTCCCTGCCCAGCTTGCGGCTCAGTCCCTCCCTGACACACAGCCGGGCAGCGACAGAGCGGAGGAGCCAGGAACTTGGGCTTTGCAGTCAGGAGGAACTGGGTTCCGATCCTGCCTGTGCCGGTGGGGTAGCTGGAGGGAGGAAAGGTGATTTACCTGCCTGGCACTCTGGTGAGGAGTGAGTGACCAGATGGGAGTGTCCCCTGTGGTATCCGGCCTTCGAGGTAGCCAACTTTTATTTTTTGGTGTCCAACTTTAGAGGTGTGCTTGGAGATGCTCTTGCTTGATCTGGGATCCCTGGGTGAGAGTGCTTTGGTTCTCTTGGTGGCTTCTGCCTCCCTCTAGCTGTGAGGCACCTGAGCAAGACATGACCTTGGCTGTGCTTTTCCTCATTTCACAGAAGGACACACAGTTCAGGGAGGCAACATGCACAAGGGTGCCCAGCCAGCAGGTGTCAGAGCTGGGATTTGAGCCTTGGTCTATCCACCTCCAAGTCCTGCTCATCCTCTTCCCCCAAGGATTTGCTGAGCGTGTACAGAGCAGGAGATGATGTTTCTGGAAGGGGTGTGGGAGAGGAGGGAGAAGTTACAGTTCTATGGGTTCGGGGGGATATGGACACATGGCAGAAATGTTCCCAGAAAGCGACTTTTTCTTTGAGTAAAGCAGAATTTCTCAGGCTTTTTAGCCCTAACACTTTCACGAAAAGCATAACATTATAGGAAGTCAAAAGATTTGTTTCTTTTTTTCTTTTTTTTTTTTTTTAAAGATGACCGGTAAGGGGATCTCAACCCTTGACTTGGTGTTGTCAGCACCACGCTCAACCAGTGAGCGAACCGGCCATCCCTATATGGGATCCGAACCCGTGGCCTTGGTGTTATCAGCACTGCACTCTACCGAGTGAGCCACAGGCCGGCCCAAAAAGATTTGTTTCTGAAACTTGAAAATAAATGAATTAAGTATTGGGTCTGAAAGCCAATCAAAGCAATTACAGCGTTGACTGTGACTGTTCACACTGTCTGCAGCTTCTCCCTGGGTTTTGTTGTACTTCCTGCCCTCCACTGGGAATAGCTGGTAACAGCCTCCCCCTTGGTTTGGGGGGCTACATTACGTAGGATTTTATTGACTAAAGAGGGGCTGCATCTTAAGTGGTTGGGAACATGTCCTGTGTCAGATTGGAAGGCTGGATTTATTTCTGCAGATATAGTCTGATAAAGCCAAAGTCTCTGGAAGGACTGCGGACAGGTGGGTGGCATCCTCAAGCTCAGAGGCTGGGAAGAGCTCACCTGCTGCCAGCCCCTGTTCACCCACCCTCCCTTCCCTCTGCAGGATGCCCCAGGATTTGTCAGAGGTCCTGAAGGAGGCCACCAAGGAGGTGCACACCCAGGCAGAGAACGCTGAGTTCATGAGGAACTTTCAGAAGGGCCAGGTGACTCCAGAGGGCTTTAAGGTATGTGGCCCGGTAGGAGGAGCCCTGGTGGAGGGTGTGGCAGGTGCAGTTATGCCCAAGGCTCAGGCCAGTGATTTAAGTGGGGATTTGGGGATGCTGAGGGACCAGATTGGCATGTCCAAGGGAGTCATCTTACAAATGATGACACAAGCTCAGAGAGAGGAGGTCACACGAGTTCATGGCCTGCTAAGTAGTATTGTGGAGAGGCTGGGCAGCAATTCTATCAACTGAACACCCTATTGTTAGGGGGGCATTTTATACACTTAGTTCTAATCTTTGCCTCAACCCTGCTGTGGAAGATGAGGACAGGAAAGCTCAGAGAGGCTAAGTGACTAACAGAAGGTCACACAGCCAGTAAGTGAAAAGGTCAATATCAAGCCAAGACCAGTCTCATTTCAGGGCTTGCGCTCCTGACCTAATTCTTATTGGCTTCTGAAGGCGAGAGATAGTATAGTCTTAGCAGGACCACTTTCTAACAGTGCAACTGGGGACACCCATCTAACCTCCCCAAGCCACCTTTTTCCCATCTGTGAAATGGCATTTCAACAGCAGGGTTTTCTGAAGCACCCACTCTATGCCAGGCACTGATTTGGCTATTTCCTGGTACTGTTGTGAAATTCATGCAAACGGAAGGAAAGAGCTTGATGAAGAACCAGACAAGTGTTAGTGTGGGTTGTTGAGGTTGAACAGAGTGTGGGGGTGGAGAGCTGTAGACCTTCATCGCTCTTTTGCAATCTGGACCCTCCCCCACCCTGGTTCCACCACGAGAGATGCTTCATTGAGGAGAGATTTAACATGTAGTTCCAGGGTGGTGGGGCCCTTGGGCGTGTCCTGTGGGTAATGAGTTTTCCTCATACTCCTCTCCCTCCATCAGAAAGATGACGTACACCCAGTTGCTGTGATGTGGCTGTGGGGAGCCTGGAACGGGAGGTGACCTCTGCAGTACACCCTCCCCGGCCACCACAGACTTTAGATCTTGCCTCTAAGTCACAGAGTTCAAAGTGGGCACCAAGATCCATGAGAGAACCCAGCACGCATTACATTTATGCTGCTGGAGGGGGCACTTCTCACGGCCTCTCTGATCTGAGCACTAAGTGCCAGGCTGCACCCTGGGCTTTGCCTGAATCATCTCACTGTACCCTAACACCAGCCTCATGTAGTATGTGTTTGGATTATTCCCTTTTGTGGGGGAGGAAACTGAGGCTTGACTTGCACAGACTCACACAGACCTCAGATCATCTCCTGCTCTAGATTGGTAAACTGAGACCAGAGAGGGCAAGTGGCTCACCCAGGGTCACACAGCTGAGGACTGGCAGAACTGAGGTTAGAACTGGGCCTGTCACTCAAAAACTCAGACCCTTTTGTACCAGGCTGCTGGGCTTTCTGTCCCCTTGAGGAATGGGGCTGCCAAGAATGTTTATGGCTCAGAAATAACTTGGAAACCTCAATTGAAACATCTTAATTCTGTCCTCCTTCAAATTTGAACTGGAGTACTAATGTGTAATGGCTCAGGGAGCCCTGAGCCAAAGTTTGCCAGGGCCTGTCACCCCAGGCCAGCATCCAGAGGTGGTGGGATACAGAGTGGACCTCCAGGAAGGAGATTGTGCTCTGAAGATGGTCACACAGAGGTCCAAGGCCAAAGCCACCTGGCCTGTTTCCTTTAATCAGGTACTCCCCTGCTCTAGAGCTATGGTGGCTCCCTAGCCTGGGCTTGAATCCAATTCATTTTTTACTAGCTGTGCAACCTCAATGTCCCATGTCTTCTCTGAGACTTAGTTTCCTTCTCCGTAAAATGGGAATAGCAATTCCTTTGTTGGGTTTTCATAAGGATTAAATTCAGCCTCATGTTTTACCCAGTGGGGTAAAAGGGTTTTAGGCTGAGAAAGCACATGATTCTATTTTTCTGTTGTGAAAGTCCCTCTGGCTGCTACATGGAGAGGATTGGAAGGGGCCCAGAGGGGACAAGTGGTGAGGGTCTTTCCCGAGGCAACAATGAAGGGGATGGACGGTGGGTGGGGGTCTTCTACACAGCTGGCTTAGAAGCTCACTCTGCTTTCAGCTGGTGATGGCTTCCCTGTACCACATCTATGTGGCCCTGGAGGAGGAGATCGAGCACAACAAGGAGAATCCAGTCTACAGCCCCCTCTACTTCCCAGAAGAGCTGCACCGCAGGGCCGCCCTGGAGCAGGACATGGCCTTCTGGTACGGGCCCCACTGGCAGAAGACCATCCCCTACACACCGGCCACTCAGCGCTACGTGAAGCAACTGCACGAGGTGGGACGCACAGAGCCCGAGCTGCTGGTGGCCCACGCCTACACCCGCTACCTGGGCGACCTGTCCGGGGGCCAAGTCCTCAAGAAGATTGCACAGAAGGCCCTGGACCTGCCCAGCTCGGGTGAAGGCCTGGCCTTTTTCACCTTCCCCAACATCGCCAGTGCTGCCAAGTTCAAGCAGCTCTACCGCTCCCGCATGAACTCTCTGGAGATGACCCCCAAGGTCAGACAGAGGGTCATCGAAGAAGCCAAGACTGCATTCCTGCTCAACATTCAGGTGAGGGTCTGGCAGCCCAGGGTGACCACCACCTCCCCCAGCTGCTCCTCCAAGGGACACTTCTCTTGTTGTAGGGGAGGGTGCTGTGGGTCTTGGGAGCCAGGGTTCCAGTCCTGCCTCAGACTAGCTGGGTGATTGTGGGCAATCTCCCTACACTTCAGTTTGCCCATCTATAAAACAGGGATAATGATAGTACCTACCTCTTACAATTGTTGTGAAGGTTAAGTAAAGTCCCTACAACAGTGCCCAGCAACGGTAAGCCCTCATTACTTAGCTGCAGTCATTATACGGCAAGAGAACCACAGTTGTAGCACTCTGTGACAACAGTCTGTGATAACATGTAAGTTGTGTGTGCACTTGTGTATAGCCAGGTTGGCACTGCAAGGGTTACAGCTGCTGGAGACATGGCCTTTGCCTTCTGGGGACTCTCAGCCTAGCCAGGGAGGCAGGTTACATCTTTCTACAAGTGTCTCTAATCCAGGGGAAAGGGGGTTTGAGCAAGACTTTGAAAGATGAATTCTTGGGCAGATCTGGAGGGGTTGTGTGTTCCAAGTTGGGGTGGGGTTCCTTCTAACCCAGATGTAGCAGGGTCCTGTCACTCACCTCACTACCTGGAGGCACTCTGGGGCTGGGCTCCCAGCTCCCGCCCTCCTGGTTCTTACTCCCAGCCTGGGATTACAGAAGAGACCAGTCCTGGCACCTGCTATGGAGCAATGCCTCTCCCATGCATCCTCCCCCAAATCTGATCAGTCCTCCAAAAAACTCTGTGTCTTTCAGAGGTGTAGTCAAAAGAATGGGGGATTTGGAGTCAGAGCCCATATGAGGGCTGGCTCCTGATGCCTGACCTCTGGGATGGCCTTGGGTAAAGCACCTCACCTGCAGGGGCTGCATGCAGTTCCCTTGTCTGCACACCCAGCCTGATAAATACCATGAAACACAGCTTGCCAAGGCTGCACCTCACAGGTCTAAAGTTGAGTGAAGAAAGCAGGCTGCGGAAGAGTGCATGTGTTGGAGTGTCATTTACATACGGTTTTAAAATAAGCAAAACGGTACTTTCATAGGAACACAGAATAAGGGCATGAGTGGGGGCAGTGATCTCCAAATGCAGAGTAGTTGTTACTGACGGGAGAGAATGGAAGAGCTGGCAGAGGAGCCAACAGTGCTTGCAATGTCTCATCTCTTAAGTGTCTTTCTCCGGGTGAAAGGTATACGAATGTTCAATATTTTCTTAGGATTTTGTTGTTTCCAAAATATTTCATAACAAAATGTGAAATCCCACCTTCATGCCTACACCATTCCTCACTGACACAGCATGTGCTTCTTTTGTCTTTCAGCTGTTTGAGGAGTTGCAGGAGCTGCTGACCCAGGCGCGGGCGCAGCGGGACTGCAGCAGGGTGCAAGGTGAGGGCTTCCCAGGAGGGCCTGGCTGTCTGTCTCTAGTGTCTCCCTTCTTCTGTCTTCTGAATGTTTGTACGTGAGAAGCAGGGTGCAGGCAACAGGTCAGCCTTCAGTGTGTGGCTCTGGAGAAGCCATGAATCTTCTTTATATCCATTTCTCCACCTCGAAATGAAGGGGGTGGGCTGGTCGTTTAGCTCAGTTGTGAGAGCACAGTGTTATGACACCAAGGTCAAGGGTTCGGATCCCCATACTGGCCAGCCGCAAAAAAAAGAAGAAAACAAAGGGAGGTTGATCTAGTTCTAGTTCTTTGGCTCAGAAGTGCACAAACCCCCCTCGGAAGTCATGGGCAACCCACCTCCCCTTCATTTAGACTCCTTTTTAGGCCTTTTCAAGGTTCCTGAGCAGGTCCCCTGGTGTGGGGCAGGGAGTGGAGGGTCCAGTTACTGACCTGCCCAGGACACTGGGAAGACCTGCAACCTCTGGGTCTTGTGGCATGTGAGCCCCTCCCTCACATGCCTCTGAGAGCCATCGAGACTGGCCACAGTGAGAACATCTGGGAGACTTCCATAAAGACCAGAACCTGCCACAACATGTCCCCTCGCTGAGCCTAACACACCATGGGAGGGAGTGTGGCTTTGGGAGCAGGAGGGAGCAAAGAGGTAAAGCTCACTTCCTGCTTGGCAGGCGACTTTAGGCTTTCCCTCCTAGTGCCACCCAAACCCACCTGGCCTGTGGCTCTCTCACCTTGCCAGGATCTGTGGGGTGGGGGGACTTCACCCTCATGCAGCAATTCTCAAAGTGTAGTCTCAGTACCCTCTCAGGGGGTCTGTGAAGGCAAAGCTATTTTTATGCTACGCTACTACGATTACTTTTTTTGCCTTTTTAAACTCTCATTTTCTCATGAATGCATGTTAGAGTTTTCCAAAGGTAATATGTATAGACCGAGAGAACACTCGTTCTGTGCCTGTGGCTTCGGTGGATGTCCCACCCACCCAGGCTGCAGGCTGCCTCTGGCCTGTTGAGTGTACATGACTAGGGATGGGAGTGGATTTGAATTTTGACCTCAGAGGTTCCACTTTCTAGCTCCTGCCCCATCACCACCATTTTTAGAAAATGTATAAGGGTTTGAGATGAGGATTTATTTATTTATTTTAAAAGATGACCGGTAAGGGGATCTTAACCCTTGACTTGGTGTTGTCAGCACCACGCTCACCCAGTGAGCAAACCAGCCATCTCTATATGGGATCCGAACCCGTAGCCTTGGTGTTATCAGCACCGCACTCTCCCGAGTGAGCCACAGGCTGGCCCCTTGAGATGAGGATTTAATAGCTCAGACCTCATCACCTGTAAAGCGTAAGAAGGGGGCCTTGCTGAAAGTAGGCAGAAGTTTGAAAAACATGCATGGGGCCCAAGAACTTTCTCCCAGTGTGGCCTGGCTGACCACAGAGAATGGACAGCTTGGAGAAGTAGGAAGCTCCTCATCTTTTAAGGTATTCAGGCAGGGTCTAGAAGGATACCTGTTTGTGCTCTAGCAGAATCCTGGCATTGAGCTGGGGCTGTGCTAGAGATCCTGAGGCCCCTCTGCTTTGCTTTTCTGTGACATCAGACACCCCCATGCCCACCTACCTGTTGTTGACCTTGCCCCCATTTCTCTTTCAGACTCCACCCCCAGGGAGACTCCCAGAGAAAAGCCCCAGCTCAACGTCCTCTCCCAGGCTCCGCTTGTCCGATGGGTCCTTACACTCAGCTTTCTGGTGGCAACAGTTGCCGTGGTACTTTATGCCATATGAATGCAAGCGTGCCGGCTCCCTGGGGCCACGAACTCTGTCCAAAGGAGGGCCCTCTTTCTGGAGAGGGAAAATCTCTTGGTTGGCTTCCTTACCTTGCGCATGGGACAGTTTCAGGGACCCCAGCCCTCTCCCTGTATCCCTCTGGAGGAAGGAGCCTGTGGCATCTTCCCCAACCAAAAGCACATCCGGCCAATGTCCTGAACTTGCCAAGTGGGAAGAGGGGCCCAGCTCTGCCTCTCAGCATCCCCAGCTCCTGCACAGAGCCCAGAAGCCATGGCCAGAAGTAGCAGCTGTCCTAGACCTCCAAACGCTCTGATTTCATTGTATCCTTGTTGGCACGGCCATGACCGCTTTCCCTGTGGGCCGTGGCAACTTTCATACAAACGTGCAGATGTTGTGTCTTGTGTTTCTGTCTTGTTTTTGTTGGAGCCACTCTTTATTCCTGGCTCAGCCTGAACTGTGGTATTTTGTTGTGTTCTGTTGTTTTTATAGCAGGGTTGGGGTGGCTTTGGGGGAGTGGGTGGGTGGGGAGGGAGGTGTTTTATTTTAACACCACTGTGGCCTTGGTCTCTTAACTTTTGTGTGAAATAATAAACGTTATCTGATAGTAACTTGAAGTGTTTTTGTGGGCTCCGTTATCCGTGGGGAACTGACCTTTTCCTCACTTGTTTCTTGAACGCCTGTTGGGAGAGGAGGCGGCAGCGGTGGGGTTGGCAGTTGCTGGTTTCGGATGTTGGGCTCTATTTGAGAACGTGAGGGGTGAGCTTTAAGCAGCTGGTGTGTGTACAACCTGACTTAATGCGAGGCTCACCTGTCCTGAGGATGGGGTTTCCCTGTTAGGCTGAAATGAGCAGGTTCTGGGGTGAAGTTTATACATTCAATACAGTGACTCTTAGGGACTGGAGTGAGATCCCTGGGTTCAAATTCCTACTATTCCCCCTTGAGGCTGGTTGCTTAACCTCTCTGGGGCTCAGTTTTATCACCTGTGATATAGATAAAGTGATACCACCTCACCTGTCTGTCTTGAAAAGCAAAATGCCAGCACTGTGCACCATTATTAGCTGCTGTTATGCAAGGTGGGAGACCAATGCTTTGTGACTCTTGTATTGTGGGAGTCAGCTACATCATCTCTATGTTAATCCTCATAGCAAACCTGTGAGGGGCATTACCACTATCTGAGTGTCAGGAAGGATTCCAACCAGGTCTCTCCAGCCCTATAACCCAAGCCATTTCCACTGCCCTAAGTTGTGAAAGCGACCAAAGTACTAAATATGCAACCTCCCAATCTGGGATAGTGGAAACCCTTCACTGGATGTGTACTGGGCAGAGCAGGGGACAAGGCATTTCCTCATACAACCGGTATGTGAGGACTGGGAGTCAGGAGACCTTTGTCCCTAGTTCTGGCTGTGTCACCTATGTCTGGAAACTTGGGCAAGTCACTTCAAGTCTCATTTTGTTCATTGGTAAAACAAGAACAATACACGTACCTCCCACAACTAGTGGGAGGATCCAGTGGTGTCCAAACACCAGTCTGTGCAGGGTGGTATCAGAATCACCTGGAGACACTTAGCCACGGAATCCAGGGCTCCACGCTGAGAGGTTCTGATTCTGGAGACCTGGGTTGGGACTCCAGAATCACTATTTATGAAACATGCCCTGGCAGATTCCAATGTGCAACTAACTGATCGATCCGGGAGCCACTCTTTATGAGATTATGTGTGCAAAGCTCAGGCATTCAATTTTAGTACATGTGCTGCTGAAACAAGCACTAAAGCTCAGGCGTTCAAATAGCAGCTGTGGCTCTGCCGCCCTGGCAGAAGGAGGCATCTGCGAATGGGGCATAGATAGTTACTGTAGTGACAAAGGAAGGGAAGGAGAGGAGAGAGAGAAACAATCTTGAATTCTACTAATAGGAGAATGAGTGAGCAATTTGTATTCTATCAATTTTCAAAGATGAGCAAAGCTAGACATTAGTTATAGTGGTAAGGACAGATCTTAACGGGTAATAACTACTGCAATAGGGAAAAGAGTCCGGCATGAACTGAGCTCATCTTTGATTTGTACCAAGGTGAATAGATATTTTAAAGGGAGATTGAGGGAGTAAGGGTTGGGCAAGCGGTGCTTAGTAGAATTAGGAAAGTGAAAAACTACAAAGTGTTTGTCAGTGTAAATGCAATTAGGCCAGCTGTGTCTATTTGGCAATTATCAAAGTCAGGATTCTAGCCTCCCACAGAGACTGGGAGACAGAGGTGTCGGCTGGAACAAACAGTGAAAAATTTTTGGCAGCCTTTAGTTTTCTCAGGATGGCACTTTGAGAGAGGCTAGGGTCATCTTAGAGATGTGGTCTTGAGCTATTAAAACTATTAGTTTTTGTTCAAGTCTTTATAAATCAAGGTTGAGTCTTAGTTGAGAAGGTTCAAAGGAATAGGGCTAGAGTCTGGGCAAGGAGAGAGTCTTTATTACCATACTGTGGAAAATTAAGAAGCTGCTAAAATACAATGAACTAAATCTACATCTCTTGGTGCAGAGGTGTCTGTAAAGCATTGGTGAGAAAAGCAAGTTTCAGATTCATTTTATGTTACTTTTATACACTCTAAAAATACACATAATTTTGGGTGGGGTTACATCCAAATGTTTATTAAGTTAAAACACCCATAATATAGTAAGTTGAACTTACACAAATAAAAAGACACTTAGAGGGCCGGCCCGTGGCTCACTCGGGAGAGTGCGGTGCTGATAACACCAAGGCCATGGGTTCGGATCCCATATAGGGATGGCCGGTTCGCTCACTTGGGAGAGCGTGGTGCTGACAACACCAAATCAAAGGGTAAAATCCCCCTTCCGGGCATCTTTAAAAAAAAAAAAAAAAGACACTTAGAAATAGATCTGAGGCACCAGCCCGTGGCTCACTTGGGAGAGTGCGGGGCTGACAACACCAAGTCAAGGGTTAAGATCCCCTTACCGGTCATCTTTAAAAAAAAAAAAAAAAGACACTTAGAAATAGATCTGAGGCACCAGCCCGTGGCTCACTTGGGAGAGTGCGGGGCTGACAACACCAAGTCAAGGGTTAAGATCCCCTTACCGGTCATCTTTAAAAAAAAAAAAAAAAGACACTTAGAAATAGATCTGAGGCACCAGCCCGTGGCTCACTTGGGAGAGTGCGGTGCTGACAACACCAAGTCAAGGCTTAAGATCCCCTTACCAGTCATCTTTAAAAAAAGAAAAAGAAATTGATCTGAGAACAAGGGGCATAATTATTATTATTATTTATTTTTTTGGCAGCCTGCCGGTATGGGGATCCGGACCCCTGACCTTAGTGTTATAACACCGCACTCCAACCAACTGAGCCAACCAGCCAGCCCTTAGGACACATCTATAGAAAACGAAATATAAACACAAGAACCAACAAATTAGATGATGTGACAATCAGTACTATTAAACACACACACAATTTAAATGAATGCTCCCGGCAAACGTATGTCTGCACGCCTGTGGCGAAGAGGACGGAAGGTTCTTTCCGGCTCGCGTTGGGACAGGGCCCAGAGCAGGGAGGGGCGCAGCTTGAGAGCCACTGCGCAGTTCTGACAACTCTTCCCATTTTTCAAGCTCGGCTGCAAGTCTAGTCGTCAATTTTCGCACATTTTAAGCACTGCCAAAGGATTTAAAGCTTTCTACAAAAAAGAAAAAAGATTACAATTGGGTCAAAGAAAATGTCCCTCGAGTCCCAATTGTGACAACTTTGGTCTTAAGGGGTTAAGGAGGCCCAAAGAGAGGAATTTTCGGCTTTTGGGGGCAGTGTGCTACGCTGAGAGGCACGGAGCGGGGACGCAGTGAGCGGCGTCGGAACCTGCCTGTCCCCGCCACCAGCCAGGAGGCAGCGGCTCCTCGGCGTCTCGCCCGGGGCCGGCCGGCGCGCGGCGAGCGGGAACTTCTCGGGGCCGCGTCTCCCGTCGCCAAAAGGGGCAGCTGAACCCTGTCATTGCTGAGCTCCTAGTTCTTTCTCCCCAGGGCTCTGAAAGGGGCCGTTTGCTCACGACACTTTTAAACAGGCTTAAGAAACATGCACAGGGGAAACACGGCGCGCCCACCCCTCCGCCATCTTTGCGCCCGCCCCGCGCCGCCGCTTCCTTCCCGGTCCCAAGTTTCGCGCCAAATTGTTTCGCAGACAAAATGGAGCCCGGAAGGAGGCGAGGCCTGTCGTCCCGCAGCCAATCCGCTTCGGCAACCGGCCCGGGAGGCGGGGCTCGAGGGAGAAGAGCGGTCCAATCGCTGGCCGCGGGGCCACGGCGAACCAATGGGGGCACGGCGGCCGCGGCGTCCGAACGCGGCGTCTCGTTTTTCCCGCGAAACTCGGCGGCGGAGCGTGGAGGGTCTGGTGTCCCCCGGCCTCTGGCGTGCGGGAAGGGAGAGGTGAGGCCGGTGGGGCTGGGGTCGGCCGTCGTGGTGGGGCAGGAGTCCAGGAGGGGAGCCGGGGTCGCTCGCACCCCGGTCTCGGGGCCGGGACCCAGGCGTGGGCGGGGAGGGCTGCGGCGGGCCGCCCCCAGCCTGCTCCTGCTCTTTGTTCCCGCGCCAGGTGCGGTCATGTCTGGCTTCGACGACCCTGGCATTTTCTACAGCGACAGCTTCGGGGGGGACCCCGGGGCCGACGAGGGGCAGGCCCGCAAATCGCAGCTGCAGAGGCGCTTCAAGGAGTTCCTGCGGCAGTACCGAGTGGGCACCGACCGCACGGGCTTCACCTTCAAATACAGGTGCGCACGGCGGCAGCGATGCCCTGCCGGCCCCTCGGCTTGTGCAGTTCAGGGACACAGACCGAGTCTGGCGCCACGTCTCCGCTCGGAGCCTTTTAGAATCGTAGACGGAGCACAGGTGGGGAAAGGAGCCCATCGTGGGTCACAGGACTCATCCCGGACCTCCTCACCCCCTTGGCGCGTGTGGTTTCTTATGTCTTATACCTTAAGTTTTGAGTGAGTCCCCTGTTGAGCGGGCAGCAGCCATCCAGCTAGAGCCACTTGGGCCCTGTGGTTCCTTATGCTGCCTCGTCTCTGTTCATCTGCTTCTTACGATCCTTTCCTGTGATGTTTGTGATACCTTGTGAACTCAAGTTCCCTGTGGGTGTCAAAGGTGAAGGCGGTAGGTAGTAACGATTCACTTTATTTCCTACATTCATTTATTCATTCCAGTCTTGCGTTTTCATTGATTGAGCACCTACTGCATGCCAGGCACTGTTCTGCATGCTGGGCAATAGCACTTAAAAGCTGGACAAGATCCCGGCTCCTAGTCAGTTGTACAACCTGTGACACTGTATCGAATCCTCATAGGCCTTGGGTGTCCCTGAGACCTTAAAATGCAGAGAACATGAGTTTGCAGGCTCAGCATTGGGCCTGACCATTTATTAACTGAAGGACATCCAAATGACATTCTCTCTAGACCTCAGTTTCTTCATCTGTAAAACGGGTAAAGCCATTCCTGTCTTCATTTATTCATGCAGCAGCTAACACTGACCACTTATGTGCCAGGCACTGAGGTACAAAGATGAAAAGACACATACTTCTTGTCTTCAAGCTCATGAGTCAGGGGAGTGAGGCAGAGATCAACAAATCAACTCCAGGGTGATAGTCGCCTCAGTGGAGGAAAGTACGGGGAGTTAGGGAAGTTGGAGGTGACTCTGGAGCCGAGAGGAGAGTTAGAGGTGCGGAAGGCATTCCAGATAGGGGCAATTGCATGTGCAGCAGTGTGGCCGGCTGTTTTATTGGCTCTTTGACATAAGGTAGAAGAGGATGGGCCTGTGATTCTGTGGGCTGGGGAGCAGACTGTGCATAGGTCAGTGGTCCCCAAATGTGTTCTTGGGACAGTAGTCCCATGGGATGCTCTGTAAAAAGAGTCTGGCAGTTGACAAGATGGACATGGCCTCTGCTGCCTCAGAATCTCCAGGTTTGAGGCATGTGTGTTGTTGGTCTCCAGGAGTGAGTTAAAGGCTCTGAGAAGTCCTGCAGTGAAGGAACTGGTTTGCTGTTTTGTGCATGCTGAACTGTCTGTATATTGAAACATCTTCCAACCGTCTCATGAACCACTTCTGTGGAGCTTTCTTTGGAGAACACCTCTGTCGACAGTGGGGAGCCTCTGCAGGGTTAAATGATGGAACATCCTGCAATTAGATGTGTGTTTGGGAAGAGGAGTGGTGGCACTATGGTGGCTGTGGCATAAGCAGATTCTGAGGGTGCGGGTGTACCTCGGCCACTGTTGGTTTCTTCTTTCCTGCACCCTTTCCTGCCCTCACCTTCCTCACCTGCCCACTCCAGGGATGAGCTCAAGCGACATTACAACCTGGGGGAGTACTGGATTGAGGTGGAGATGGAGGATCTGGCCAGCTTTGATGAGGACCTGGCTGACCACTTGTACAAGCAGCCAGCCGAGCACTTGCAGCTGGTGAGTGGGACCCTATCCTTAACCCCCCCAAGGACTGGCTCTGTCCCAGTCACTAACAGCCTGTGTCTTTCCTCTCCTACAGCTGGAGGAAGCTGCCAAGGAGGTGGCTGACGAGGTGACCCGGCCCCGGCCCTCTGGCGAGGAGGTGCTCCAGGACATCCAGGTCATGCTCAAGTCGGACGCCAGCCCGTCCAGCATCCGGAGCCTGAAGGTGGGTCTCCTCCCGTTGAAGAGTACAGTGGCTGCTGCCGGGTGCAGAGGGCTTTGGTACAGCCAGACCTGGATGCCAACTTTGTGACCCTGAGCAAGGCACTTGACCTTTCTGAGCCTATTTCCTCCTTTGTAAAATTAACTCACTGGACAAATGTTTACTGAGCTCCTCCCGTGGGCAGGGCATTCAGTTGGGTCCCAGAGAAACAACAGTGAACTACGTGATGAGCTCCTGTCCTCGAGGAGTATATATCTAGTAGGGGTGGACTGAGTAAACCTATAAACATCACCTGTGATCATTTTAGATGGTCATAAATGTAATAACAGCAATCAAGAGGGTGACAAGAAAAGTGGGGGGGGGGGCTTCT